GCGGGTGATTAGAACTCAGGTGACTGTGATCGGGTGATTATCCTGGATGGTGACTGAAGTGACTGTGATGAATCCCTGACAAATACAGCCTACTGGCAAACAATAAAAGCAATATTACTTCCTTTTTAGGTAAACATTACAGTGTTGCCTTTGTTGTGTCTTTGCCGACACAGGGCAGTAAATTTAGTTTGGTATAGTAACAGTACTTTTTTGCTATTGTTGTCTAATAATATGAACATATTTCTCAAGCTGTATTGTACTGCACTGTATGAACTGAATTAATAGTGTATTGTAGTACTAAACAATTAATTAAAAAAAATAAACATAACCACTGTTCTGTGTTTATTTGCCATTTGTATTTCAACTTTTATTTCCTAAATATTTAAAACTTATGTTTAATTTAAATATATGTACATATATTTGTTATAAATACAAAAAATAAGCATGCTTTGCCCATATATGAACATCTATTCTAGACAAACAGTATATGTGTCATAAATGTGTGTATTTGGGAAAATATTTGTTACATATTTGAAAGCGGCCATTTTTGTACTATTTAAAATATTATATTCCAAAGAATATTCCATATTCCAAGGAATATGTAAATGACAAAAGAGCTCTTCAGTTTGTATTCTTGAAACTAGGAAGAGAATTAGCATTTCCAAGTCACTGGTACCCTCAGATATTTCATGTTTTCTTAGAATAGCAATTTACAATTTCGGAGTAAAATAAGGTATGCAGTTAACATTGAAAAGACATTGATATGTTTTATACAACATAGATTACATACAGGCATGCCTCAGATCTGAATTTTGTGTTTTTAAAAATCCACATTTAGGTTTAGACATAAGGTCTACAAGTATCACAAGAATATGTTTTTAAGTGCTTGATGAATCAGACAACGTATTTAACATGTTTACTTTAACTGCAGATAATGAGTTGTGAATGTGCTTTAAAGACAGAGTGTAAACTGCAAGGTTATTTAACAAGACCAAATGGTCATGGACAAGTGCAAATGCACAATCTGTTGTGCCTACTGAAGGTTAAAGATACAGACACCATCTTCATCCCGTGGTCTATGGGGCCTCTGATACCCTCAGGAGGCTACAAGTGATAGTTTATGACACTTTATGTCACCATGGTCCAGCAGAGACAGTTCTGGTCTCACCACTGGGTGACAGCTGTTACTTTTAGTGATTCTCTCTGTAGCAAATTAGCTCAAAAGGCAAACGTATATGATTAATTACAATGAATTATAATTAATTACAATTATTTATATCATCTGCCAGTAGTAACTGCTACAGAATTAATATTACCATCATCAGCTAATTTGTTCGTCCAGCGAACATTCAGTGTAATTTCATATCAACTCTAAGGAATTATATTTTCGTGGCCATAGAAAATAACTTTCCTACAGTAATAATGCATTAGAGCATGTAACAAGAACGGATCGTTGAAGGGACATTATCCACAAGCAGTGACAGAATCATAAACTCATGTAATTTGTGCACAAATGTTTTATTAACTAAACTCTAACACATAAGTAGTCAATACAAACAAACATACAATCACTCATACATGGAGAGAAGGGCAAATGAGACTGAATGAATGAGACCGTTAGAGAAACAGGGAATGGAGCTATGAAAAGGAGTCAGTTAACCACCTGAGTTGAAACCATCAGCGCCGTTTCTTTGAACATGGTGTTTTGCGTATGTTACTGAATTGGTTGTTGATGCAAAAATTATTAAAGATTCTTATAATACTAATATGTTGCATAGGTATCAATATATAATGTACTCTACCATTTAGATGATCAAAATACAAATTCATAGATACCAAACATGTGTAAGAAATGTTAACCACCTGAGTTGAAACCATCAGCGACGTTTCTTTGAACATGGTGTTTTGCGTATGTTACTGAATTGGTTGTTGATGCAAAAACTATTAAAGATTCTTATAATACTAATATGTTGCATAGGTATCAATATATAATGTACTCTACCATTTAGATGATCAAAATACAAATTCATAGATACCAAACATGTGTAAGAAATTATAGTCTGCCTCGACCAAACTTACACTCTAAATAAACTATTCTCCTTTCTCTACAAAGAGCTTAATTATCATAGAGATAATTCTTTCCAATCTCAATAATATGTAAATAGTATCTCCTGAACGTTACTTCGTCACCTATAGCGTGGGAGCGGCAGTAGGCCATCAAGAACCATCTGCTGACCAAAAGGGTACTTGAATATAATTGCTAGGGATTCTAGATAATCCTATCACCTGAACATTTGGTTGTTTCCACCTGAAAGACTATCAAAGACGTGGGAACGGAAGGCTATCACTTTCATTGTTATCCGCAATTTACATTTAAGACGAAACTTAATTTACATGCGGGAAGATGAAGTGGGAAGAATAGAGTATAAAATGTTTGAGCTTAGGATGTTCGTGGTTCATTCTGACTCCGTTGAACCCAAGGTAGCCTACTACATGTAGGCCTACTTTGTCACTGATATGCTGCAATAAACATCTTCATCGAAATCTTCATCGTCCTCATCATTTTTCATACATTGGCGAGCCACCCAGCGCAGGAGTTTCCAAAAAGCAGGAAAAAAGTTAAGAAAAGCGGTTTCTTTCTTTTTGCTGGATTTGTCAGGGAAACCCCTTCGTTTAAAAAAATCTAGAAAAGAAATTGTAAGGATAGAAGATAAGTTTATTCAGTATTAGCAGGAGGAGTTCTTAAGCCTATTCGGTACAATTCTGTTTAAAATTCTAACGGAACTGAATTAACCCGACGTAGTGTGGTGGCAGAGCTGTATTGGAATCGTTGTTTCTAAAGTAACTGAAGCAAAGTGCTTAAGTTTAAAGTTTCTAAAGTAACTGAAACTTGTTGTTGGTCTCTTATAATTCTGTAAGACGTATTGTGGCTGAGTAAACTGTTTTAAAAGCATAACATAAAACCTGAAGTAGTGGGGTTTTGTCCGACGTACTGTGACAGTGTTACATTTTTAACAGTAGTAGTGTAAGTGTTTTTAATTTTTAGTTTTACATTTTTAATAGTGTAGTGTAAGGCCCGACGGAGTGTGGCCGTGTCCGGAGAAGTGAAAAATTTGGTTTAGAAGCAGATGTAGATAGAGAAGGCAGATGACCCGTACGAGTGGGCTATGTCTCAGTTAAAAAAATTGTCCCAAAATGCCTAAAAACAAAGAGGGAAAAGTTGCTAATGCACTTCAAGCTTTTTTTGCCTCATACAAGGTAACTAAGAAAAGATTAGAAGAAATTAAAACTGAAAACAAGTTGCTAAATTGTCAAGCTAAATTCTATGTCATGTCATTGAAAAATTGCGAGGCTGAAGAGATTATTTTGAAGGAACTCATCGTCCTCATAATTTTTCTTACACATGGTATAGGTGAGGTTACATTAGCTAGTGTTTCATTACGTATGCATAAAACAGTATAGGCTACAATACAAAAGACAATATACAAGAAGTAAGTAATAATACACACAATGACCTGGAGATATGCATAGTCATTCATAGAAAGGTTTGGCTATTAATTAATGAAAAAAGAAAAGCGTAATTTAAAAAGAAAAATGTATATCTGTAAATAATGTCTTTTGAACAGGTAACTGTCTTCCACTATTGTTTTGTGGAACCTCTGGCTTAGGAGGCCAGTGCGACTCATTGAAATATAAATAATAATGTTATAAATAATGTTAAATAATATTAAAATGTAAACAAACATATAAATAACAATAAATAACATTACAAGAAATGTTTATTATCTCCAGGTTGGTTTTAAACGCCTTTAAGTCTCTGAAATCCAGTGTGGGCCTAAGAGTTGTGTTTATGGGCTCTGTCATTTTGCCTTTTTTGCTTAGAAACGTTTCTCTTAAGTTGCAAAACTTGTGTAATCTAACAAAATTAGTTACAAATGACTTTTTAAAGAATGTATTTTGTAATCTGTAGTGAAATAAATTTTAAGAGTAACATTCCCAACCCTTCCTTTTGGTTCATGTCGGTTTAACTGCAGCTGAAATGCTTAGTATTTTTCTCATTGCTCTTTCAGTACACCGAGGGAGACTTTTCTAGCCTCCATCAAACCAACAGAATGTCAATGTGCAATATGATCACACTGTCACTTTATATATCAGGACTTTAACAAATGCACTAAATGTGGAATGTCAAGGTGCAATACTATATCTGGTCACTAATCACTACTGCCACTCATTCCATTTCAATTTGTACTTTTTGTATATACTTACTGTTTCATGTCAATGTGCAATACTATCAATAATCACTTTACTCAGATTGCTCAATGTGCAATATTATGACTCACTCGTTGTATATACTTTTATAATTTTGTTCATTTTTAACCAGAAATCTTCTGTCGTACATGTTTAATGAAGTGCTGAGGCCCTTCGTTATTGAGGTCGTGGATCATTGTGTGTTAAAAAAAGTGTGTACAATGCGGTCAAAGACTTCCTTTACTTCATTTCTTTCGTGTCTTCTTCACACATGCATTGTGGAGGGAACCAGATTTTACATTGAAGTGATCAAGACAACAACATGAAGATCATACAGCTTCAGCTCTGTAAGTTTACATATTATGAATATTTTTAACATACATTCATCAAATTTGCAAACTCAAAACTTTATTATAAATTGTTGAATTTTTCCCACAGTGGTATTAATCTGTTGTCAAGCTGCAGTTTCAGATCTATTAACTGATTTGGGATCAAATGTGATCATAAACTGTGATCTTGATGAAAATGAGGTTTATTGGATTTTACTGAAAACACCAGATCCTCCGACAGTGATTCTACGATCATTCTCAACACCAAAATCACCTTTTTACTTCAATAAAACATTCAGAAACAAATATTCAGTGCAGTTTAAACATCGTCTGGTTATTAATAATGTGACTGCTGATGAATTAGGAGTTTATTACTGTATGAACACAGAAACACCTCCAAAACTCAGCAACAGCACCAGACTGCACTTCAATGGTGAGTTAATTTGCTCGTGTAGCAATTAAAACAGTCTGTTAATCAGTGTGATTATTTATATTTGTTATTTATTACTACAGTTTTATTAGAAAAAAGGCCTCTCATGGGTCGCTCCACATGAAGATGAATAAGTTATCGATATTTAATCCAGTTCTACAAAACTGCATCATTGTCGTTGAGCTCCAGTAAAAGACTGACAGTAACAGACTGTGGAAACTTTCATTACAGAAACTCAACTAACTGAGTGTCACAATCATACAGTGCTGGAGGAGTTTATTGATCAGAATCAGACACAATGGCAGATTATTATCATCATATCTGCTCTGATGAACGGGCTTCTGCTCATTCTGCTGATCGGTGAGTTATTTTTCTTGAAGAAAAATAAATTAGCAAATTAAACACTAGTGGTGTTGTCAGTGAAAATATCAATAAGATGTTCTTCTGCAGTAAGGAGGTGAACAAGTTTTTCATTACTTAGTCTTTTGACTATTAGTTTGGCATGTATGTCTCTCCATATATATCGTTACAGTTAAAAAAAATATTGAATCTGAATATTGAAATATTGAATCTTGACGTTTCATTAGTTTTTGCTGCTGAAAAAACAGAACGGATGGAAAAACATGTATATGATGCTGATCTGCAGTCGACACAAGTTACGTATCAGCCTCAAGACGCAAAACTTTTACAAGGTAAATATGTGAAACCATTTAAAATCTTAAAATCGTTAATGAAATTCATTACTATTATTTTTTTTATAATTATTTAGCAATACTGAAGGTTTTACTTCTATAAGTACAACAAACTATAGTAGACTTTTGTTCAGATTAATTTAGGTTTAACTGCAGCTGAAATGCTAATGGTTTTCCTCATTGCTCTTTCAGTACGCCGCGGCGGTGGACTTTACTATAACAAATAGTCATCAAGTCAACAGCATCTGTGTGTGAAAATATAACATGTTCTTAAATATGATGTGAATTTTCCTGAAGATTTATTCTGCAATATCAAGAGTATTTGGGAGATCTGGGGCTAGTTGTCACACTTCTCCAGTAAAAAAATATTATTTAGAACACTTCTGTATAGACATAAAATGTGAAGTCTTTCATACAAAAAACGATAAATCTAAATATTGAATATTTTAATAAAATGTCATATGTCCACCATTACTGGCCAGGGAAAAAATGCAGTATAGGAGTTTACACAGATATGCATTAAGCTTAATTGTCAGATTCATTGATGAAAATCGCTTTAGTTATCAAGTCTGATGTAATGTTTTTGATCTGGTTTATTTGCATTCAGCCTTTAAAATGTTTTTGCATGTAACAATAAATTAACTCAAAAGAGGTCAAAGGCCACGCAACATTATAATGGTAAATTGTAAGAATAGTGGCTAAATCATACTATTATATTATATTTTGAATTAAAAAGAGAAAGTTTTCTTATGAGGCAATTTTTTTTTTTGTAACCAAGAATTTTCTCATGCATGAAATTTTACCAATATACTTGCTTTGTTAACTATTTCAGAAATTAAAACATATTTTTGTTTTATATAATTCTGTATTCAGCAAAAAAATTGTATAGTATTCAGCCCTAGCACAAAAAAAGTTATTGTTTTCATTATTTTTGACCTTGTATTCTAATAAACAGACACCAAAATGTTAAATACCAATTAAATTTTGCAATTCTAGATTCAAATTTTGATACCACAGCAAAAATGCCTAGCCTAACAAATATAAAGTTCAAACATTATTAAAGACAAGTGAACAGTAAGTACAAAAAAAAAAAAAAAAAAAAAAAAAAAAAAAAAAGTATACAAATTACAAGCAATGGCACAAATTAAATAAATAGAACAAAGATACAAATTAAACAATGCTTTAATTTTTCAAACTAAACCAAATTTCAAACTAAAACCAGAAATATGTTCCACTGTTTGCTCACTTTGCTCACAAACAGCGTCTGTCACCTTTGTCTAGAGTGGAGGTTTTCTAAAACCTTTATACGTTATTGTAACTCAGTTCTCATACCTCAAATGGAAACAGCAGCATTGCAGTATAAACACTCTCATACTTCATGACATGATGCTTGTTGTTTGTGCATCTAGATATACATATTTCATATCAGACTATTAGACAACATGTAAAGCAACTTTGTACTTGATACTGAAGTTTATATTTCTGTGAATGTGCAACAGCTAATGGACTGTTTAAAATAACTTTTGCATGTTATATATTGCATTTTCTTTCATTTATAATTCTGGAAATGTTTTAAACTCATTGCAGATTTTTAGTCTAAAGGTGAGAAACAAGGAAACCCAAATTATGTCCAATGCAAAACATTAATTTAAACAATTCAGCCTCTGAATATTCCTGTCTGCTGTTTTCTGTTGCAGTGGTTTTCTGTTGCATGTTCAAAGCTGATCTTTACTGAGTTACGTTTTTGAATAAAACCCTGTGTCTGTCAGTCTTGGGTCTGGTCTCTTGTCTCTGTATGTTCTTGTTCAGTGAAAAATCAAAAAGTGGTTTCACGGGAATTATTTAATCATATGGTTTGCTTAGATCCAAAGTGCTGCTCAGAGATCTTTCACATTTTCTGACTGAATATAATCTATACTGTGATGAAGCAAACAGGGAGCCGTATGCAGGGGTTTATATACTGAGATCCCAAATATGATTGTGCATTTTTGGGTCACAACAACTTTAAAACCATTGGCAGTTGCATTAATTATTTGTCAAGCAGATATTACACATTAAACGTTTCAAGTATACAATAATACTATGTATATTATGGTGATACAAATATGCTATGTTTATGTTGTTGTTAAATCGATCATAAAGTTTTCACTGTAATTACCAAACAACGCATCTCTCTGTGGTAATTAAGAGCACTGTAATTATGCACACTTCATCCTGGGCACAGCAGACAGTACTTTTTCTCTCAGTCTCCTTATCTTGCCCTGTATATCTTCCCTTCCCAAAGCTCAGCTTTGATTGATGCAGTCTTTTCATTTTCATCCGCATCAGTGAAAAAAATACTGTTGTCCTGACTAACATAGGGTCAGCTGATATTTATACATAGCTTTATGTTTATGACTCATTTTCCTAGACTCTTAATTTACTGAAGGCTACCAGGAAAGCTAGGCAACTAAATAATTATATTAAAGGGGTCATATGATGCGATTTCAAGTTTTCCTTTCTCGTTGGAGTGTTACAAGCTTTTCGTGAATAGATAAGATCCCTGAAGTTGCAAAGACTAAAGTCTCAAAACCAAAGAGATATTCTTTATCAAAGTTAAGACTCTGCCACACCCCCCTAAAATGGCTCGTTCTAACATGCCCCCACATATCTTGGTCACTATGTTTAAAAAAGCATCATATGACCCCTTTAATTCACAAAATGTGCACATTCATTTCTAAATGTATGCTAAACATGCTTAAAAACGGCTCCATCAATGTTTGTCTTGTCATATTGTCAATTAGGCCTACAAATTACATGAAACATGTATTTCAGTTCAAAATGGCGAAATTAGACAACAGTTTATTCATTTGCATCCCTGATTATTCATGTCGTTTAATGTATATTAAAGCACAGTAAAGCCTGCCTACTTTGATTTGATTGGTCATCGTTCACAATCATGTTTTATCTCGGCGTTATGGAATATCCCTTTAGCAAAAATACAGGGGAAATCACTGGTGTGATTTGTATTTATTTGTTTGTATTTATTGTTCTGCCTGTGGAATGGCACATGGCACTTTAATATCTTAGTGCCCTCCACCTATGTCTATATTTGTGTATGTTCATGTTTACCATTTGATTAGTTATGTATGGTCCTGTAATTGTCACTGTTTGTCTGAGCCTCGTCACAAGCATTTCATTGCCCAGTTTTCCCCAGTGTTAACTATGCAAATGATAAATAAATGCCTCTTGACTCTTGGTGGGACCAAGCAAACATCTCTTACTGTGGGTTAAAACACATAGAGGTTTAAAAGAAACCTAAACCCTTTTGTGTGAGATAAACATTAGATGTGTATGTAAGAAATGTTGCGTACCGATATGGTTGACAGCTGTTAATGTACAATTACAATTTTAGATCGATAAACTGTACTGTATAAGATTTCTATTCAAACTGAAAGCATAAATCTAGGCTACCTGCTAACATTTTCAAAGCACAATGCAAAACTGTGACATGTCATTCACTGACGCTTAGGGATGGGCGTATCGATCCAAAGTATCGATATATCGATACTGACGCGAGTATCGAAAGTATCGATACTCAAACAA